CACAGATAGCCCATTGTGTAGCTTTGTGCTTAATTACAAACAAACAAATAAATTATCTACTTAATTGTTACAAGGAATTATAAAAAAACGTACCACAAGTAGCCATAAAAATGTTTCTTTAAATTCATAAATAACTTGATGCATTAGAAGTTCTTGAAATTGACTAAAAACTAAGGTTCTATAAAACTTTTGTTGGAGTTTTGTGCCGCAACACGTGCCCATCTTTAATAAGTATTTAAACTAAAATACAGCTGCAGTATGCTGTAGACATAAGATCTACATTCATTACAGTACCATTATCCGTATCTGCTACGGTTGTTTCAGTGCCCTATTTATATTTTGAAATTTACTGACTTTACTTTTTGTTATGTGTTAGCTCTTCTCCGCCTAAATACACTACATTAGTTTCTTGTACGACAAGGGTGAGTCATTCGCAAGGCATTCACATATCTGTATCTAAATCTTTTACTTTCCCTGTGTCGCCCTCTATCGTCTTAATCACTGAACTTTACTATGAAGAAATCCTGGGCGCCTATGTTTTTAAATGTTTCGTAAAATTGTTGAGATATTGGTTTCATATCTTTGTCTACAAAGGCTAATTACTTTAATGGAAATATACTTCTGCAGTTACATAATAAGTATAAAGATAAAAAAAGAAAGAAAACTCTACCAATGTATACACCAATAGGGCCATGTGTGGTCGCCCACTGGTTAGCCTGGCGAACTTTGGATCCCAAGGTCATTGGTTCGTGTTCCATTTTTGTAAAAATATCGTGCTCTAGACATTGGGATCTTGGGAATTTATAAGAGTATCGGTTAAATTCTACTATTCGATTATAGTAACCCAAGATATGGCAGTGGGTGCAGCCTTCCCTCTAGCCTATCAATCCAAAATTAGGGACGGCTAGCAGAGATATAGGTCTTGTGTAGCTTCGGGCGAATACCTGAAATATAACAAACCATATATACCAATATGGTATCGCAGATAAACTAAGAAGTAATTACGGTTTATTAATACTTTTCTTCAACACGACATATATTACATAGAAGGAAGGATTAGCACCGAGACAATGGAATTTCCACAGCTAGGAAAATCAAGGAACTGATAAACTTTCTTATAAACAATTTCAAAGTTAGGAGAGATTACGGAAAATGAAGACTTGTCGTATGATAATTTCTCCCTTTTTCTTTTAGACTACTGAGAATTGACAGCTAATGAAAATGAGGCATTATGCTGTTGTACAGTTTCCATAATTGTTCCTAAGCCTCTGAAGAACTGTTAGCTACGAATGATCAGAATAATGGAAGATTTTTTTGAGATATAATCACACCCTCCCCCAACTGAATAACTGACAGCTATGAAGGATTAGACAAGTTAAAAACTATATTGTGATACTGTCACCTTTTCTTGTTTATGAATCACTGATAGCGATGAAAGAAATTAAAAGCTTTTATTTGTGGTAGTGTATCTATTTCTGCTTCTAAGTCACCGAAACAATTTTCACTGATATGGATATGAAAAGTAAAAGAAAAGGTCTTTTTTTAAGTGTGTCGGTTCTACTGAACAATTTGTATCTGGGAGAAATGAAACAACTGCTCTAATATAATGTTTCCTTTTTCATTCTGTGAATCCAAGACGAGCTGAGAGATAACAGAAACTGAAGACCTTCCGCCTTGTGACAGTACAACCAATAATTAGTGGAGAATCAACATCTAGAAAGTATTAAAGAAACAAAGTTTGTTTTTTGTTATTGAAAATAAAAAGTTGTGAGATTCATATGCTCAAAGCTGAATAAATTACGTTTCTTCATAACATAAGGTTATTATTAGCTCCAATAAAGATATAAAGTCTCTTTATTTTTATAAATGTCACATCGTTGACGTCTTAAATAATACAGGTTCGTAAAACATAAATTCTTAACATGTAAGAACCAAATATCGTAGACGCGTAAATAAATATTAAAGGTAAAATAGTAGATTTTATACCCGCAAATTATTTTGATTGAACATTGTTTAAAGTGCCCAAATTGTATTTTTTATATCGCAAAACTCTAATTTAGCTTTTCGTCAAACTTACAATAGAACCACTAAAGTAAAACTTCTGTAAATAAAACACTCACTAATTATTTTCAGGATAGGTTATATGTTTCTATCACCTCTTTTTCTGTAAATTATGTCCTTATTAATTTCATAGCGATTTCTAAGATTAATATAGCTACAACGTGTGTATGTTTTGCAAATTCATTGATATGTAAATATTATAGAAGATGGTTCATGTACGACGGGAGTAAAACGTACTGTTACGAGAGCGGAAGTCACGCGACGCTGGGAGCATGCACGCTGGAGTTTCTAGAAGGATCATGACTTATCGAGGAACCTCGCAAATGTCCCAGTGTTTGCTAGACGCCCTCTTTTTTAGTACATAAGCTTGGCGAATAAAACCAGCGCGATAGATATGCAAATAGATAGGCAGATAGATTGAGGATAGAGATAATTGAGTCAAGCGAACAGTAGGCACTGTAAGTAAAGTGTGTGAATCACTGTGATTTATAG